GCAGCAACAGCGGGCCGGTAGCAACAACGGAGACGACTCGGTCAGCCGGCAGCGACGAGCGCATCAGGTTCGCCAGCCGCGCACCAATAATTACACGGCCCCTCTGGAACGTTTTAAAGCGGCTTCCCCTTATATTTTTAGTGCGTCAAGACCGAGGGGACACGCGGCCGTATGGCCGCCACCGACGTGTCCGGGGGCCGAGCGACATTCGTTTCGCACTTCTACAGGAAGAGCTGTTGAAAACCTAGTTCCTCTTGAGAGTCAGTGCAACTGACCCTGAGGAATCTTCTGCGTATATTTTTAAGAAGTAGCTGAAGCTTCTGACGTCATTTTTGAAGAAATTAATTCCTGTTATTGGTTGTAGATGATCGTTCTACACGATGGGAATGTAGAAAACTATGATTTCGATATCCTTCTGTCTATGTAACGGCAGTTGTTACCGTTTGGCAGTTAAGCTGATGATCCGGATGAACCAGCGCATAATTTATCGGGAGTACGCAATCGTTTTCACAGCCAACTCGAAACGAGATATTGTTTAAAGCCTCTTCAGGTCAAACGTCTTCACGACTGCCAACTTGAATTGGCTACTGCACTATGAAAAATCAGACCGGGTTTCTGAAAATCTGGTTCACGATGGCTCTAAACCCTGTCAGCTAAGAGATAATATGAAAACTGTAGCGGTCAAGAGTAGATCAGCGCTATCCTTCGAATGAGAAGGCTCGAGTTGCGCTAGCAATCATGGTCGCAATCCGCCTGAATCTAATTGTCATCCTGGGATTCAGCGAAGCTGGACACCTATCACAATCGGAGCAACATGGATCAATCTAGTATCCTCCGCCGAAGAACAATCCGAAACGTTAATCCTCTTTATCCCATGTCGTATGTTAATCCGTCTAGCATCGTCATCGGGGATCATCATGCAAAAGCGGAAGAGTGGGACCGTGTGAAAGACCAACCGGGTACCCTAGCTCGGCTAGGCGAGCGATTTCCCCTGGGAAAAGCGCGTTGCGCGCACGGGAACAAAGACGAATTGTTTGCCACCGATTCAGCGGACGGCGTGGCGCGCGAGCAAACGGACGGGCCTCGCAATTATGACTCAACGATTGCGATATTAACCGCAAGTTAACCGAGAGGACCGGCAGTGTGGCGGCGTTGCACGCGTGCTGCGGCTGGCTCCTCGGCCACCGCGAGCGCGAGCCTTGACATTTATACGTCACGGAGAAACTCTCCGGCGGCGCTCCGCCCGCTCATCCTAGTTACCCAGAAAGCCGGACAAACGGACGGACGGGTCAGACGGGTGAGACGCGATTTCGACAGCTCGGAGCGCGGAAACCCCGTGCTTCCGGCGATCGGAGATGAAAATTTCGTGTTCCGCAACGCGACGGATGAATCACCCGCTCGCGGACGCGACCCGGTGCATACAGGGTGTACCGTAACACACGATTACGGAGCAACGAACGCATCGTTCGCTCGCGAAAGTGTAAACAGGATTTTAAGAGTGATCTTAACCCGACGATGCGTCCGGCTTGTTTGCTTTCTTTCTTAAACTACCATTCGGTCGTGTACAACAGCCACTTTCTATGTGCACCGTAATCGACTGGACTGCGGATATTTATGCAGATACGCACCTGTGTGGATTGTTTTATAATGATTATGTAGGAGCCTGCGAGCGAAACGGGAATCCCGTTGGAGCTTCTTGAGCTATCTGCTACGGTGGATTTTAGAATCGCGTGTTGGAGTTCAAACGTATTAGGTTGGCTGATATGTATCCTCGCATCTTTTACGGAAGTTTGAGAACTGATGGTAGATGAACTGAATTATATTAATATATGCTGTTTGATTTATTGAAAAGAAAAATAGCAAGACCTTTTGACTAGTTGATAATTTGTTGTTGTTATTTGATTGACGAATAAGAGAATTTCATTGTTTTTATCTGTTCTGTTACTTTGAATTTCAAGTGTGGCAACCGATCGATTATTTTGGAGCGCTAAATGTAGGAGTCCAGTGTCAAGGGTCTCTCAGACTATTTCAGCGCATCTAAAGATACCATCCTATTCTACGAATATATTTTCGTACTTTCTAGTATTCCAGCTATTCCGGCAATTACCGACAACACCATGAAAACGGTATATAAACGCGTTTCCCACACGCGTTTACGACTAACAGCGGAACTGTGACTCGACCGTTAGTCTCGTTTATATTCAGTTTTATTCTGTTCTAAATAGTCGCTTGTCATTCGTATACCAACCTGGACTGACCTATGCTAAGATTCAGATACTGTTTACGGAATAGGAGCCAAGGTCGTTGTTGCCGTCGCTGCTACCGCAGTCGCGGCTCATTAGCAGGCACGCACGATCGGCGGCAAACAAGATGGAACAGGACACACGTGTCCTGGAAAATACCGAGTCCCGTCGCGTCGCAACGCGCTCGCCAATTCCGAACCGGTTTCCACATTTTGCGATACACCCGGTATGCATTATGCGCGCAACGTGTGCCCATTAGGAGCAAGTTGCGCGTAAACGTTGCGTTTCTCGCGCGTCGAGTAACGACCTATCGACGATTTCCTGGCGACTTCCGTTTCGCGGGGACGACGTCAAACGGGAAACCGTGACGGAGATACTGAAAGAGAGAGGAGTAGAAACGGGGAAAAGAGAAACCGGAGCACGCTTCCGATTCCAATATCCCTCGCAACGAGAAATAACCAATTCCTCGGCCGATGAGATTGAAAAGCTCTTGCCGCGAAATCGCGGTTTTCACCGGGCGGCGATTTCCGTAGGTCGCGCGGAACGATGACACCGTGTCGTCGCGTGGGATCGCGCCGATCGACAGACCAGAAGACCAATCGATTCGTTCCACAGAGGCGTTGCGCTCCTTCGGCAAATGGATTCGAGAGTTTGGAGGGGTGTTGCCCTTTCGTTGCGCCTATTGTCCTCAGTTAACCCGTCGAAGCTTCAGCTGTGACAGGCAGTGTGAATTGAGAAATTCGAAATGAAAAATCGTGCAACGAGGACATCGTCGGAATTCATCTTCCCCTATTGTCTTCGACCGATGAACAGGGTCGAATAGAATGGATACGTTTAGGACAACGCGAATCATAGATGCGAATGATCATCGACAACGGAGTACCTTCCGCGTACATCCTCCGTATCGGGAACGGTCGATCCAGCCGTTCCGCGTTTCCGTTTCCCGTTTGCCGAACGAGAACAGGGCAGGCCGGTGTCGATGCACTTTAAGGAAACCAAGCGCGAGAGATGCTGGGGAGACGGCGAAAACCGTGGTGGCCGGGTATCCGAGAGGCAACGTACGAGGCGGAGAACTACTTGACGGGTCGGTCGGGTATAATACGATATCCCCTCTAAACCCTTCTACTGCACGCCCCCTGTCCCCACTCTCCTCGCCAGCCGTAAGGGCTCGCTCGCGGGGTCGAATCGAACGCGCACACCGGTTTTTCGTTCGAGGCGAGAAGAGTCACCGGTAAAATTTCGGCACCGGTCGAGTACCCTTTCCACAGGCCGTGTATATCGACCCCTGAACCTCGGAGCCACGATTCCGCCCACGGTCGGACGCGTACCGGAATTACGTACCGGCCCCCGCCGATCATTACCCAAGGCTGATATTCCGTTCGGCTCACCCAGTGCGTCCCCGATCAGCCGGCGGGGCGAGCGATCGTGAAACCGATCATCGACGTCGGGTCTCACCCAGCAGTCGATATGTTTTTCACTTTGCAAATCTCTATTTTTTTTTTCTTCTCCGAATCACACACCACAAACAGGCGTCACTCGGCGCGGTCGTCGAGGCGTCGTGTGCGCGGCGAATCAAACGCCATACTTCGGAGCGGAGCGCCGCGCGGACGAACCGCGTTACGATGAAGCGAATGATGAGAGAGAGAGACCGTGAGGCGTGAAGAGGATAGAGGGTCCAAAGGGGAAGTACTGCGGGGGAGCGATCGAGAGAGACACGTCGTGGCGGTTACTCTGTCCGGCACGAGGACGACGATCACGCAGCCAAAAGGGAACTCGCGCACACAACGCGTTGCGAAAGAGCGTCGCAAGGATAACCGCGACAGCGACAGAACGCGCACTGCCGTTCGCATTCGCGCGAAGGAAACGCGAACGGAACGGAACACACTCCGGCTGGCACGCACACGACTCGCTCGCTCTCGCTGCTCCCACAGAACGGCGCGCTTGCACGTATACACACACCGCTGGCCGGGGTGATACACTGCACTGTACCTATACGTATTGGTCACGTTCACGCGCGTACGGTAAAACCGTGACTCCGGCCGCTCTCGGCACTGCCACGCTGCTCGCTCGCTTCTCTCCGACTTGCCTCCAGTTGGGACGAGAACAGACAGACGGGGAGACAGACGGACGGACAGTTGGACGTACGGACGGACGGACGGTCGGGCGAGTGCACAGGGAGGGAGAGAAACTCACGCTGCCACACGACGCTCGAGGAGAGGCACCGGCTCGCGCTCTCCTACTCTTTTCCGTGAGTGTGTTCGTCGCGCCTGCACGGACGAGAAGGGGATGATGATGGTGCAGGCGACCGGTCGTGTGTTAGTGCGTGCACGCGACGAGCGAACGAGCGAGACCCGGCTCGTTCTTCACACTGATGTACTGCGCACACGCGCGCACGTGCGTGCACAGGTATACGGGAAGAAAGCTAGGTACGACACAAGCCGGCGTATACACGTGCGCTCGAAAATGTGCGTGAGAGGAAGAAAGAGGATAAAGGGAGGGGAATTCCCGGCGAGAAAGTGGGAGGAGATGTATGAAATAGAGAAAGAAAGGGATGGATAGACGGATAGGCGATGGTTCAGAGCGAGAGCAAGAGCTGCGAAGAACAGCGGAGATGTGTTTCGCCGCGTTCGTCGGGTTTCTCTGCTCCCCGCCTCGTCGTGTATTCTTCACCACCGGGACCGGAGAGACCTCGTCGTGTGTCGCGTTCACCGCACACCGGACCACTCTTCTCGAGGAGTGCTATGCCAGAGTGAAAAATCGCGGAAAATCGATCACGGAACG